TCAGCAAAGAGTACTGCTGCTACACTAGCAGCATCTAGGAGCGGCATCATCACCACCCCAAGCAGCAGCAAGGTTACTTCTAGGAGTGACATGACATCGTACCTTCAGCAGAACTCGGTGGGGGAGGCAGGCATAGGAGCCACCAGGTCCTCTGCAATTAGCAGCGAATCCTCCTCCTCCCCTGCTTTGCCAATAACAACCCGCCACGTGACGTGACAGGCGCTGCTGCAGGCGCAGCAGCATCAGTGGATTTGGAGGAGATGCCGGTTTGCCACGCGGGAGATAGATATAAGCAACTTGGGAGAAGAGAAGTGGGGCAGGCGGTTCTTGCCTTATCTCTGTGCCTACAGCTAAGATAGCAAGTGGGGGGGGAAGGGAATGTGGAAAAAGAGGGAATGGGTGACTAGGGGGTTGGGAATGGAGGCAGAGCCCGTTTGGCATGCGGATTTCTGGGCCTCGAGGTGAGAGAGTGTGGGGGGGTGTTGGATGGTAACGTGAATGGGGGAAGGAGGAGGAGAGGCAAGGATTCTACGTACGGGAAAACGAGGAACCAATTTGCCAAGCGGGTTCTTGTGCCTCGAGTTGTGTGGGGGGTGGTGGAGGCAGGGAGGGAGTTAAGGAGGCATGAAGGGAGGGTGGGAGGGAGGGACGGAGGGAGGGAAGGATGGGGGGATGGAGGGAGAGATGGAGGGAGGGATGGAGGGAGGGATGGAGGGAGGGAGGGAGGGAGGGAGGGAGGGAAGGAGGGAGGGAGGGAGGGAGGGAGGGAGGGAGGGAGGGAGGGAGGGAGGGAGGGAGGGAGGGAGGGAGGGAGGGAGGGAGGGAGGGAGGGAGGGAGGGAGGGAGGGAGGGATGGAGGGAGGCAGGGAGGGAGGGAGGGAGGGAGGCAGGGAGGAGGGAGGGAGGGAGGGAGGGAGGGAGGGAGGGAGGGAGGGAGGGAGGGAGGGAGGGAGGGAGGGAGGGAGGGAGGGAGGGAAGGATGGACATGTGAGATATCAGTAACTGAGAGGCAGGGGAAGGAGCCAAAGGGAAAGTAAAATCAACATACCGGAAAGGGGCTCTTGTGATGATCAGGTAGCAGCAGGCGAGATTGCTTGGTTATTTTTAAAAGTTTGTGAAAGAGGGGATGCTGTATTATAATACCTTGAAAGGGACCAGAACGGGGCCCTGAGTTTATCTGATGGTAACGGTTATGATCCTTGTGAACTCCGGGGCCGATCGACCAATCCCACGCTCGCAATAGGGCTCACGACCTGCCACGTGGCGAAGCTTGAAAGGAGGAGCGTTCTTTCCAGCACAACTTGATTGGACATCAAAGGGAGACGCTGATTGTAAGGTCTGAAAGGTAAGAGAACATGGGCGCAATGAGATTCAGTCGCTACCACAATTTTCTCGCTATGGAGTTTGTCAGCAACTCTATAGTCACCCACCTCCTGCTCCACAGCTGCTGTTGGTCTTGCAGCCACGTGTTCCCCTAGCGGCACGCGTGTGATTGTATCAAGAACAAAAGTGTTGGTTCATTGATGTGGGTTAGGGTACATATAGCAAACCCCAACATCTGTACCCCCTAAGACAAACCTCACTACAGGCTACAACATTTGACACACCCCCATAGCCTAAGTGAGGGGTGTCAAGCAAAACCAAAAGTGTACTGTCACAAGACTAGTCACAAAGAAACAAAGCTCAGGGTGGATCACAACGTCACCACACACTCTGAGCACAAGCAACAGGGGCCACAAGGCCAGTTCGAGAGTTCACAAGTGTGTATAGCAAGAGTACAAGCAAAGCAAACAGTAGACTCAAGCCTATACACGACTAGAAACGGTGTCAACAAGGCCTAACTGCACACAACACCTCTGGTGGTCACAAGGCGGAAGCGCCTTGGTGAAGATGTCTGCAGTGTTGGCCTCGGACTCCACAAACTCGAAGCGAGCCTATCCACGTCTCTGCAACTCTCGCAGAAGAAAGTACCTGACGTTAATATGCTTCACTCTGCTCTCCAGTCGCGGCTCTCGACAAAGGAGAATCGACGCCTTGTTGTCAGTGAACAAGGTCGGTGCAGAGCTCGGCCGCTCACCAAGGTCGGCGAGCAAGAAGGTCAACTAACGCACTCATGTGCCGCCATGGCACCAGCGTAGATCTCAGCCTCAGCTGTAGAGGTCGAGACCGAAGAGGAGCGCGTGGACCGCCACGAAACAGCTCCAGAGCCCAAGCTGAAACAGTACCCCTGAGCAGACCTATGAGTCTCAGCGTCGTCAGCATAAGAAGAGTCACAGTGACCAGTAAGTACGACAGGCTGCTGCCCTCCAAGAACTAGCCCCACGCCTGATGTCGTCGCTAGGTACTTCGCCACCCTCACAGCTGCCGTCCAGTGAACAGGACGGTGTCCCTGGCGCAACAAAGCGAGCAAGGATGCTGAGAGGGAAGGCGAGGTCCGGGTGAGTGCAAGTCATCAGGTACATGAGGCAGCCCACCAGCTCTGCGTAGGGACCACTAGACTCAAACGGCTCGACAGGAAAGGGTCCAGTAAGTCTGTGGTCAACAGCAAGAGGTGTGCGCTGTACTGTGGAGTGTGGAAGCTCGAACCGCTGAAGGACCTGCTGCACCATGTGTGACTGTGAGAGTGTAATGGTGCGAGCAGCTCTGTCCCTGGTGATCTGCAAGCCAAAGTAGTGGCGCAGCTCACCAAGGTCAGTGCACGTGTGTCTCTTCTGCAGTTCGGACTTCACGTCTGCCAAGGCAACCCTGTCAGCAGTGGCGAAAACCAGGTCGTGGACGTAGACCAGAACAAAGAACGGTGTGGAGCCACGACGAACGAACAGCGACGGGTCAACAGAAGACGGCTGGAACCCAAGGTCAGAGGGTAGAACGAAGAGTGTCGTGCCACTCACGAGGAGTCTGACGAAGACCGTAGACATGTCGCCTCAGCCTCCACTGGGTCCCAGGAGGGAAAGTGCCAGTGAAGGCAGAGGGACGACGCAGCCAGACCTCCTCATGTAAGCTACCCTGAAGGATAGCAGTGGAGAAGTCAAGAGAGTGTAACTCGAAGTCTCTCTGTGCTGCTACATGCAGTAACACCCGAAGAGTGGTCATCTTCGGGGTAGGCGCGAAGGTCTGAAAGAAGTCAACTCCCTCGCGCTGACTGAAACCTCTAGCCACGTAGCGCGCCTTGAAGACCGGAGGAGATCCCGGTGGCCGCTTCACCCTGTAGATCCACATGCCATCGACTACGTTCGCCCCAGGGGGGGAACCTCGTCGACGTAGGTGCCTGTGGATCTGTAGGAGGCCATCTCTGCATCCATGGCAGCTCTCCACTGAGACGCCCAAGGCCCTGACACTGCCTCAGCGTAGGTGCGAGGAGTCGGTATGTCAAGGGCGTCGGGGTCTCCCTCAGGGGCGAGCAGCATGGCACAGAGATGTGGGGAAGCGGCTGCCAGGAACTCTAGCTCAAACTGCCTGTCCTCTAGGACGTCACATCCAAGGGCAGACTCACCCCCGACGGCCAGAGGACTGGTAGGAGGAGCAGCCACAAGACCGGTGGCGTAGTCAAGGCGGCGAGTGGATGCAAACTCAGTGACTGCGGCAGTAAGGGCGGAGACAGAGGAGACAGAGGCACGAGGGTCGGTAACAAGAGAGGCGAGAACACGAGAGAGAACAGGACGTGCGGTAGTAGTTAGTGACAGGAGTAGAGAGAGAAGCAGTGAAGGCCGACTAAGGAGGAGACGGAAGGAGAGACGGAGACGAACGAGGCGGACTAGAAAGAAAGAGGGCAGTACAAAGGTCAGTAACGAGAACAGGAAACGAGGGACGAGCACGAGGGGAGCGACGAGAGGCCCGAGTCTGAGAAGGAGGAGGGGACAACAAAGGTTGAGAACGAGGGAAAACAGCCGGGGAGGGGTCAGGAGGAGGAAGCGGAGGACCCGAGACGGGAGGAGAGGTGGAGGAGGAAGGAGAGAGAGAGGGGAGACCGAGGGCCCGAAGACCAGAGACAGGAGGAGGAGGCGGCGGCTGCTGCTCCTCCTGCTGCTGCAGCGGCTCCAGCGGCTGCGCCTCCTGCTGCTGCGGTGGCTCCAGCTGCGGCTGCTGCAGCTGCTCCTGCTGCTGCTGCTGCTGCTCCTCAAGCCGCAGCAGCTCCCTCTCCTCTCTCTCCAACTCCAGCTGCTCCTCACGGGCACGGCGAACACGAGCCTGGTGCCGGGTCGGGTAGGGGTGGGGGGGAGGAGTAGTGTCGTGGGCTGCGGCAGCCCCGGGACCGCCCTCCAAAGCACCTGGCGCACCACCCCCAGAGTCAGCACCACCAACAGCAACACGACCAGGCTCACTAGGACCCGAAGAGGGTGCACCCGCACCCCCAGACGTAGCACCCCCAAAGTCAGCAGGACCAACACCAGCTCCCGGAAGACAAGAGTCTCCTGCAACCACGGGCTCAGCTCCAACTCTAGCACCCCCAGAGCTAGCACCTGTAGGGCCCTCTCCACGAGCACCGGCTCCCGTAGGGTCTGCCGCGGGCTGCGAGGAGGACTGCGGGGAAAGAGGCTGCACCTGAGGGCTACCGAGGGGGGAGGGGTAGCCTGGGACACACCTGACGGGGCGGGACCAGGGGGGGGAGGCTGTACAGGGGAAACAGGAGGGGGAGCGGAAGTCAGGAAGAGAGGGGGAGGAGGAACCGGGAGACCTCGACTGGGGTACCTGACGTAGTAGGGGGTGGACTCCTCGAAACGGACGTCACGGGAGTCAAAGAACCGGTGAGAGGGAGGGTGGTAAAAGGTGAAGTCAGAGGAGTCCTCAGCGAAACCAAGGAAGACGCAGGGAACGGCGCGAGGTGAGAGCTTGTCCGCGGAAGTGTCACAGACAAGAGCCAAGCAACCCAAGACACGAAACCTCGACGCAACACCAGGGGACCCGGTCCAAAGACTGTTCGGTGAAGCCTCTGGCCGAGAGACGCGTGGCCAGAGGTTCAGCTGGTGAGCGGCGTACCTAACCGCGTAGGGCCACAGAAAATGGGGGGCACGGGCGTGATTCAAGGTAGTGCGGGCGATCTCCATGACCAAGCCTATGCGGCGCTCAGCAACCCCATTCTGCTGTGGGGACTCTGGAAGCGTCCAGGACTAACGAATGCCCTGCTCACGACAGAATCTAGCGAGAATGCTTGAGCGAAACTCACCCCCACGGTCAGAGTGAAGACAGCTGACACGACGACCACGAGTGCCTCCAGTGGTAAGCAACCACCTGATCAGCGTAGAAGTCACCTCAGACTTCTTCGCCAGGGGGAACACTGTGGTGTAGCGGGAGTAGTCGTCAACGACCACCAAAAAGAAACGCTCGCGCTCAGGGCCAAGGCGAGGGGCGGGGCCCCAGACGTCCAAGTGGAGCGTCTCAAAAGGCTCGGGGGCCGGACGAAGGGAGGAGGAGTGAGGGGTGGCACGCAGCCAACCCTCGACGCAGGGACCGCACGGCGGTGCAAGCGAAGGCGGCAGCGACGGCAAGACACGCGGGAGGCCTAAGACAAGACGCTGACGAGACATAGCGCGCAGACGAGGGAGGGACGGGTGCCCCGTTCGGTGGTGCCACAGAACGGTGCGATGTGCAGGCGACCGGCAGGAGCACGACGCAGCAACTGGACCAGACACGGGAACCTGACCAGACACAGCTACCTGGGTGGACGCAGCAACCTGGTGAGACGCAGGGACCAGACTGGGGGAAGTTACCGGGGCCGGGGGCAGGAGTCGCTGCTGCTGCTGCCGCTACTGTTGCTGCTGCTGCCGCTGCTGCTGTTGCTGCTGCCGCTGCTGCTGCTGCTGCTGCCGCTGCTGCTGCTGCTGCTGCTGCTGCTGCTGCTGCTGCTGCTGCTGCTGCTGTTGCCGCTGCTGCTGCTGCTGCTGCTGCTGCTGCTGCTGCTGCTGCTGCTGCTGCTGCTGCTGCTGCCGCTGCTGCTACTGCTGCTGCTGCTGCTGCTGCTGCTGCTGCTGCTGCTGCTGCTGCTGCTGCTGCTGCTGCTGCCCACCAGGGCTAGTGTGAAGTGTGTAGAGACCAGAGCCCAGCTCGGCAGTAAAGGTGGCAAGAGGCGAGTAAGTGTCGCCGTCAACACAAACCGCCGTCTCACCAGAGGGCTCAATCCACACACCCACGTGCTAAATCACAAGAGGCCTCACGCCCACCAAGTTCCTCGAGAACGGGGGGACGTGGAAGCCAGTCAGAGACCCAGAGGGAACAGCAGGGCAAGGAAGAGTAGTAGTGTAGCGAGCAGTGACTGGTCCCGAGGTGGGATCAGCCAGGGCCACAGAGACTGGCGCAGGAAGTGGAGTAAGTGTCGTGTGGTCGCGGAAGAAGCAGTGCGAAGCCCCAGAGTCCAGAGTGAAAGACAGCGAAGCGTCCTCCGAAGTAGCGCCTGGACTAGTGTCTACACAAGTGCCTACACTAGCAACAGGCAACTCAGCAAGACTAGCACCTAAGCTAACAACACTCGAGTAAACAGAGTCAGAAGCACTAGAGTCAACAACAACATACATAGCATGAGGAGTTCCTAAGAGATCAAGCAACTGAGAAGCAGACATGCCCCAAACAGCGGAGCCGTACGTCTGAACAAGAGGTAACCAGTCAGGGGCAGGGCCGCCAGCGCCGAAGGCCAAGCGAACCGTGTCAGTGAGCTGAGCAAAGCACTGACCAGGAGGGTGGGTGCAGCCACAAGGCTGGCCTCGGTGAGCACCTGTCAGAAGCTGATAGGTGCACGAAGGGTGAACAACACCTCGCTGAGGCTGACGCTGTCCTGGCCCCGAAACCTGCTGCTGCCGCTGCTGCTGCGAGGGCTGCTGCATGCTGCTGCTGCTGGTGCTGCTGCCGCTGGGCCAGGTACCACGCCGCTGCTCCACCCGCCGCGGCCGGCAAACCAGAAGGTGGCTGACGAGCCCGGACGTCGCCTCCACCAGCTGCAGTAGCGGAGTCACCGGCCGCTGCACGCGATGCCTCTCCTGGTCCTGCACTCCCGCCGCCACCAGTCGGCACGCCACCCCCACCACCTCCGCCGCCAACGCCTCCACCGCCGCCGCCACCTGTACCCTGACCGCCCCTCTTGCCACCTCTACCTCGAGACCGCGAAGAAGTCGTAACAGCAGCTGCAGTCACGTCAGTAGCAGCAGTGGCGAGAGAGGCTGTAAAGGTGGGCAGATGAGGGACAGTGCACCCGTGGAACAGTGGAGGGGGCACAGCACCAGAGGCGGAGGCTACGGAGCGGAGGTTGCTCTCGACGTCCTTGAGCGCAGACTCAAGGACCTCGATAGTGAGCTCACTAGGGTGCTTCAGAAGAAGCGTGTCACGGACTGAGGCAAGGCGGTCAAGGAGGCTAGTGGCGATGAAATAGATAGTAATCGCCATGGGGGGAGGGAGCAGTGCAAGCTGTGCCTCAGTGTAAGCAGCGCGGTAGCTAGAATCAAGCGAGCGGAGGTGAGCAATCAAGTCAGCAGAGCGCTCAAACGAGGCGAGGTCAGGGAACAGGAACGTTAGGAAGAGTCGGCCAAGAGAGACAGGGGTGGGAGTAGCGTAGCGGTCCTTAATCGCAGTCAGGAACTCACTAGCAGTGCGAACCTGAGTGAAGTGGGCCTCCTCAGACTCAAGGAGGAGGCTGCTAAGAGCGATGCAGGCCGCAGCGTCACGCGACTTCCACGCCGCCAGGTCAGCACGCTGGCGGGTGAAGTGGTCCCTGGCTGCGTCGTCAGGGGCAGTGCCTAAAGGCGTAGGGTCGTCGGGCGCTGGAAGGTCACCAGTAGCGTGCGCCCAAAGGGACTGGCCCGCCTGAACCTGACTCTCTAAGAGGCGACGCGTGCGTAGGAGCCAGACCGGAAACTCGAGCGGTCTAATGCAGCGTCGAAGCGAAGAACCCTAGGAGTCGCCATAGTGTAAGTAGAAGCGACAAGTCGAGCGGTGGGTGGCACCGGTAGGGACGGTGAGCGGCTAGGGCAAGTCCGTGGCGGGCGCAAAACGCGGGCGCAACGGGGCTAGGGGCGGTCCCCCGGCTGACTGAACGAGTAGGCGCAGCGGTGCGGAGGAAGGGCCTAACGAGCTGGCCCGTAGCGGACCTAACGAGGAGGCGCGGCGGCTGTAAGGGAGGGCCTACGGCGGCTGTAAGGGAGGGCCCGTGGCGGGCCTTAACATTAGGCGCGGCGGCTGTAAGGGAGGGCCCGCGGCGGCTGAAAGGGAGGGCCCGCGGCGGGCCTAACTAGCAGGCGCGGCGGCTGGAAGGGAGGGCCCGCGGCTGCTGCAAGGGAGGGGCCGCGGCGGGCCTAACTAGCAGGCGCGGCGGCTGTAAGGGAGGGCCCGCGGCTGCTGTAAGGGAGGGCCCGCGGCGGGCCTAACTAGTAGGCGCGGCGACGGGCGGTACGGGCAGGCGCGGCGACGAAACGAGGGCGCCGCGATGACGAAAAGCGGGGCACCGCGGCGACGAAACGCGGGGCGCTGCGGCGACGAAACGCGGGGCGGCGCGGCGACGAAACGTGGGGCCCCGCGGCGACGAAATGCGGGCGCCGCGGTGACGAAACGGGGGGCGCCGCGGCGACGAAACGCGGGCGCCGCGGCGACGAAACGCGGGCGTTTAGGGCAGCGGGGGGAGGACGCAACGCGACAAGCAGCGGGGGAGGGCGTGACGGGACGAGAAGCCGGGGAGAGCGCGACGCGACGGGCAGGGGGGGGAAGGCGCTACGCTACGCGGAAAGCGGGTCGACGGAGCGAGGGCTAACGAACGAGCGAGACTGGATCGGGTCGGCGCTGACGAACGAGCGAGACTGGGTCGGGCCGGCGCTAACGAACGAGCGAGACTGGATCGGGCCGGCACTAGGCTCGGGCAAGACGGGTACGACTAGTACGAGAGAGCGAGACAGGCTCGGGCGGAACGAACGAGGACGAAAGGTGCGGGATCCCACAGGATCCTAACCTAGGTGATACCATGTCAAGAACGAAAGTGTTGGTTCATTGATGTGGGTTGGGGTACATATAACAAACCCTAACATCTGTACCCCCTAAGACAAACCTCACTACAGGCTACAACATTTGACAGATTGGGCTGCAGCACGTGAGCCAGCTCAGCAAGAAACGTGGTGTCGTGATGACCTGGACGCTGTGTGCCAGCTCAGCAAGACACGTGGCGTCATAATGACCTGGGCGCTCCGCAATGGAAAGGATGGACTCGAAAGAGCCAAAGGCGACCACAGGAAGCTTCGTGGAATGTGAGGAAGCATGGAACGGCTAGAAGAAACAAAATTGTGCGCAATCGAATTGCGATTAGTCGGGTTTGATAGGAATTTGGAAGGACAAAAGGTACCCCGCATGTTTTTCAGAGATGTTCGGGGAGGGAATTAGACGATACTTGGGGACAGAATGAGAAGGTGTTCGGGTATGCCTTCAAAGAATTGTCTAAAGCAACCTAGAAGGTGTTTTGTGGTATTCGGGCGCTAAGCTGAAAGCAAGAGCCAAGCCTATCCAGCCAATCACGTATGCCTAGCCTATCATGCATGTACAACCTATAAAAGCTCATGAAGCTTACGTAAACCTTTCACGTGTCGTTCTCCAAATTTCGCATTGTGTAAGTCACCTTTTCACAATTCGTTTGCCCAAATTCTCGCTAGAAAAAGGCTCATGGCTCTCCAAGCCACTAACTCTGACCCTAACCATAAGCATACCACGTGCACGAACTAGCGTGTCTCGCGTTTGTCACAACGTCTGCCGACTATATCGCAAAATCCAACCCCGACTTTGAGGGCTCGCTTAATTTAATGCTGATGCTCTTGTAGAAATCGGCGACCAACCGGAAATCACAGACGTGCCGGTCACCACGAGCCGACGTGACATGCTGGAATGAGCAGGAGCCGCCATGGATATTCTAGGGACAACACGCGACGGGGAAGGCTATGCAGAAAACGCTTGCTCCAAGAGATGTGTTATGATAAACTAAGAATAATATATTCCAAGGTAGCACATGTAGGTTGGTACTGGGGAGACATTGATGCATGCTTGGCTGGTGCTATAGAACAGTGTTTTCCATTGCTACTGGGAAAACCAGGTGGAACTGATACCTAACACGCGAAGCAATGATTAAAGAGTATGCATTTCTTAGGCGGCGGTTAGGTGGTGGAATGGTGATGGCGACATGTGCTGCTGAGCTGCAAAGCCTTTCACACACCGAACGTGTGGCCCAAGCATGGAAGTCACAACGCGAGTGCGAGTTGGCTGGTCTTGTAGGCGAGTGTACACGTTGACACACGTTGAATGGGACGCGCTTGAAGGTGGTTTGCGGAAACCCTAACCTTACGTTGAGGTGTAACAAATAAGAATCCTACATGTCAGCTCAAAATGCTGACATCACCTTCCACGCAACCAGCAGCCCCAGCTACACAGTGTTTTTCGGCGAGTCGCTGCCGATATGGACCACCCGGATGCGAGCCGCATTTTCAAGGGCCGAAGTTGCATTGCAGTTTGCAACGCGACTGAAGTTGTATGCGCTTCGCGGAGGGCTTATCTGTTACATCAGCAAACGCACAAGAGTCCTACTTCTGGTTCGGTTCGGACTCAGCTTCGGGAGCGAATTACCACATCTCCTGACCAGGTTATCACGTACGACACTCCCAGAGCATGCATGGTCAGTTCGTTCAGCTCAGTTTTTTTCGGGGGCGGGAAACGGTTGGGAAGGAATCAAGAATCAAGAATCTGGTTCGCTGAGATCTGCGAGGAAGTTACCCATTTCGGCACAACCACCCTCCCCGAGCCAAACCATTTGCGCTCAAAATTCCCCGCGCTTCGAAGCCTTGGTGCGGTATTTAGGGCGACGGGGTTTGTTTGAAATTCTCATCCACACCACCAACGCCCTCATCCCACCAACCGTCACTCTCATCTCACCAGCAAACACTCTCATCTCACCTCAACTCCATCATGGCCTCGCACTTTTCATTCCTATCCGCATCGCTCGCCCTTTTGCTCCTCGCTACGGCGAGCAGCGTATTTGCGCGACACCACTCTTCGGGAATCGCG